ATTAAGTGTATGCAAAATGGATTTGCCAATACACAGACATGCGATATGCATAAATCACTGCAAAAATAACTACACATGTTAAAAATATTTGATCGATCAGCCGTTGTGTCTTGACAAATCACTGCCATAGCAAAAGCGAAAAGTCACAAAAAATTGCGAGGAAAAAAGAAAAATGATGAATAACAACCGTTGGCAAAGCAGTAGTAGAAGTTTTTTTGCGTGGAAATTGACTCTAATAATATCAACTGGTATGGTATTAATATTCTTCATTGTATTTCAAAAAAAAGGAAGCAAATATATAAATTTTACAATGCGGGTATTATTTTCCATTTTTTTTTTATTAAAAATATAAGATTATGGTCATAAGTCATGTACTTTACTTGGCGATAAATAGTTTCATGTAGCACTAAAATGCATTGGGAGCCAAAATAACATAAGCGACATATTTTCAAAATTTTCTTTTTGATGCAGAAATATTTGCCCTATGTCCCAATGAAAAAGGACAAATTACTAAAACCGTTCCTTCTTGGCGGAATGATGCACTCGTCTAAAAGGGTCAAATATCCAACAGTTATTCTTGATGACTATCTCTCATAGAATCCGCTACAATATAAACCTTTAAAAAGGCCAGCGCAACTGAAGCTTACTGAAGATAATGGAGCGTAACTTGAGTACCTGAGCTAAACTGGCAATTTGGACATCTCCAAACCCATTCTAGTGTATGGTGCAAGAGGACAGAACTAATTTCTACACAGGCCAAGCTCAAAAAACTACACCGATAATCCTGTGTGGACATTACCGGTGCGATGAAGACAACACCACCCACGGATTTCGAGGCGCTTACATACGTACATATCTGACCTGTGGTCAAGACAGAGGCTGTACTGTTCAAAGGAAGACTCAACACAGGGCACAATTTGGAGCATAGTAAGCTTATGACTTCCGAGGTTTGACTTCACACACTTCAATAGCGGCAAATCAGCTGCACTTGATAGTAGTTGATTGAATAAGAAAAAATGAATTAACAACAAGAGTTTACGGGATGTACATAGCTCAGTGGTTAACGCTTCGGACTTTGAACATCGAATTCGCAGGTTCGATCCCTGCTGAAGTCTAGAAAAAAGAAGTCTGATGAAGAGATGTGGTGATCTACGAAATAGCTGCTATAACTTCTACCGCTTAGACTTTGTTGCTTTTTCAATTTTTCCTAATAAACAATCGTGGTACAAAGCTCAATAAAACTATTAAAAATAACAGTTATTGTTGAAAACAGTCATTGAAAAATTCTTTGTGAACGAAATCGATTTCTTTTTTCACCGAGAACAACAAATTTGAAAATAAATCCTTTTTACAAGCTTTTATTTAACTTGCTCTGTTTGTATGTACATACGTATGTATGTACATATGTTATTCCGATAGGTGGCGTAGGAGTCGAGATATTTGAAAAGCCCGAATTTATAGTCCGATTTGGTTCATATTTAGAAGGTATATTAACTACATGAAAAGGAATAACTCCACCACTAAACATTTTGCCGATGGGTGGCGCACGAGTCGATATATTTGGTAAACCAGAAACCTTGCATTAAAAGTATTTGTTGATACAATTAACTTATTTGTGATTTTTATGCAAATTTAAAAATAAGTAACAATTATTTTTGATTTTTATAATGACTATTTATAAGTACGACTTAAAAATTAAAAGTCAGGCAAAGTCATTTATACTTACTGATTTCAATAACTGTTATCTAAGATATGTAATATAAACCTCAAAAATTTCTGTTATTTGCAGATTATTTAGTTAAAAATCAAAAAGAGTTATAATTTTGGATTCATAAAATAAAAATCGGAAGAAACGAAATAATAGTAAAAAAACAAATTGTTAAAGAGTTATTTTTATAATAAAAGATGTAACTGTTATGCTCCCAGCTCGGGGCATTCAGGAGACGAGTTTACCTCATTTGGGTACCGGAGTAGCGCCATGGACAATACAGTAGCTGATATGTACCCATCACTTATTTATTGGTCGTCCATGCAGTTCCATCATGCGAAATTGCTGTGTCTGGATTGAAAAAGGAACGGAAATTTTACTATATTTACAAGTACGAAAGCTAACAGACAGACTAAGTCTGAAACGCAGAAATATCGACGAGAAGAACCCAAGCTCTCATTCACCTTAGCCGGCACGAAATAAGAAATATTATAAGCTTTCTTACATGACATTCAGCTGGTCATTCCCTCGTTCCCTAACTTTAAACTAAAATTATCGCAAATGTTTTACAACCGAAGTGAAATTGATGTTCGACTAAAATGAATAAAATTGAGTGGAAATACAAATCCAGGAAGAGCTCCTTTCCCTCCTTTCAGAAAAATTTCTTACGCCACTGCCATAAACATACACACATATGTACATATGTACATATGTATTCACATAACTCCTATTTACATAAATACTTAAGAATGTATGTTTAAATTTGCATATATGTATGTTTTATGAAAATCTGCATAATTTTGTATATTTGCACCAGTCGAGACATGCATGTAGAAGGCACATATGTGTAGGTATGTAAATACACATTTTATATGTTTGTAGCAAACCACTACAAGCAGTCGCGCGACCTCAGACCTACTTCACAACTGACTTTTTGCCTTACAAAATGCTTAATTTTTTTACGCTTCACTGAGTGGCAGCAAGCTAAAGTTGGTCTGCAGGAAATTGACGACATATCTTCAGTTGAACTTTTCGCATATATACAATTAGTATACCACTTCATAATCCCAAAAGTTAGTTTAGGATTCGCAAAATTACATTCGAGACTTAGGTTTTCGGCACAACAAATTTTTGAGCTGCTACATAGGTAAAATTGCTAAAGACAGAAATAAGTTTTGTCAAATTAACTTTTACGAATAATTTATAAATGATCTGGGTGAAGCAGTGGAGACTTCTTTGACCAATCGTCATTATCGAGAAGGCTGTGCAAATTTTATGTATAAAGTGTTTTCTAGCTTGAAGTTTTTGATGTTTACACAGAAGGGCTGAGGACCAATAGCGAAGTTTTTTCAAACACCCAGGTCCAGTTCGGGGTCAATAACGGCGACTGTATTTTTATGAAACGCTGTTTTTTATGGCTAAAGTATACTCAGAGGAGTGAAAACTAAACATTGGAAAATTATTTTCCAAAAGCCAGTTCGTGTGAAATTCAATTCCTTTTTTTCGTTGTGAAAATTGTAAGAAAATGTCCTTCATAATTATCTTAAAATGTTCAAACAGTGAACTCGATGCAGAAGTCTGATGAGGATGTGCAAATTGTTGCTGATTTTCCACAAAATTTTTTTTATTAAAAACTCGCTGTATGCAGCTCTCAAGAAAAATTCATATAAAATTACGCAGTTGAAATTGAAAAGAATTTTTCGTCTAAGAAAATTTCTTAAATTAGTGTGCAGGTCTCAAGAAAAAAATTCTCGTAATAACGTAAGCGACATTTTTTTCGATCTAGATGCATTTCTGCATCAAAAAGAAAATTTTGAAAAAAATGTCGCTTGCGTTATTTTGGCGGTTAGGGCTCGATATATTTATTTTTTTCCAAGAAAATTCACAGCAACAGCAAGATAGTTTTCTAGCTACAAAAATTAGCCTACTAAAATTGGATCAAATGGTTCGAAGAAAAAAATTTGTAGTATCAATGTTTTGATGCAGTTTACTTCTACTTGATACCTAGATCATGGATCTACAGTCTTGCCCCTAAATTTCATATGGCTACGTTTTTGGGTTTTTTCCGATTTGCAAACTTATTTAAAATTTTTCGTAATTATTAATGTCTAAGGTAAAACATGCTACCTTAATTAAATTCTTCATATCAGAATTTTTTTACTTCCTGTAAAGGTTTTTGAGATTACCTAAATTCTTGATATGCGCTTAATTAAAGAATTTATTTGGTTATTACATTCTTTGAATATACGTAAAAATTCCCGAGTACCTTTTTCCACCAGGGCTAAGCTGATATTTCTATTTGGTTGCTTGACACGATATGCTCGTGTAAAGGTCGATTGTACTTGTCTCGGCGCGACTATTTGATGTCCCAGATGTTATGCCCGCTTTAAATGTATTTAGTTTTGATTTATTTTTGTTTTATTTGCCACAATTATTATTTTTTTTTGTGAAAACATTAGATTTGACGCTGTGTTTCCTTGTCCTTGTTGTTAGTTAATGTTTCTTGAAAAGGGAGTTTGGTGTTTCAAAGCAAGATAGAAATTTAAATGGGAATGTAACTAAAATGGTTTTGTATATAACGTGGACACTTTATTTAGAAGTGGG